GTTCGTAAACACAGGTAAAGACTCTATTACTTTTTAGCAGAAGATCTTGAACATGTCCATGTCCCTTTTAAGGAAAAGGACAGTACATTAGAAGATTAGAAATGCTTCTAGCTCTGATAAAATAGTTATAGGGCATGTCCCCATTGTCACATTACAACAGTAGAGAATTCCAGGAAGAGTCACTTTTTTTCCCCTGACACTTATTGAGGAACTTCATTAGAACACTGAAAACAGTATTGTCCCTAAAACTTTCCCAAGCTCCCTCCCATCTTGCCAGAGATTTACAGAAGCAGTGCAAACAGCCTAATGCCTACCACTATGGGAATCAATGAAGTTCATGAAAGATGTGTGGTGTTACTGGTGTGTGTGTGTGTGTGTGTGTAATTAATCCTAGTTAATGGATATTGTTGGATGCCCTTCTGGCATGAAGAATAAGCATTTTGAATGGAATCAGACTAGAGATGGGCTGAAGTTTTGATATTTTTATTTGAACTTCCCCTAAAATTCAGGGGTGTTTAGATCTAGGGTATTGGTCTGGGCTCATCTCTGATCACAGACTGATTTTTAATCTGCACCCCTATCTTCCCAATTTATTTCAGTTACTGGTCCATCAGCAAAGCCTAATAACATCATTGAACTTTAATCACTGATACACAGAAGTACTTAGCTTTTCTTGCAAAAAGAATGGAAAGGTGCCAAAAGCAATTAATATCACCAATGGTTTGCCTCTGTCAGATGTTGAAGCAGCAAATTACAAGCACTGGAGTTGACATGAGCAAGGGACTTTATATTAAATGGGAGTAGATTTCATATGCTGTTGATATGCTGATTCTTGATTGAAAATCAACAATCCTTATATGCTCTTCAATGTATTAAGTAATTTTAGGATAAAGAGACAATTTCTTCCCCCTCTACTTTTAAAGAGAAGTGATTTTTAATTGATTAGCCAAAATTCTGTTCAGAAGACTTTCAGACATCCTTTATATATCATAAAGAAGCAAAAGAGTCTAGACAACCCATCCCCCCCCCCCATATCTTTGAGTACAGATGTAGCCAAAATTTATTGCTTACTGGTGATGTCCAACAAATCTTAGAAGAAAACTAGTTAATTAGCAATAAAGTGCAATAACAATACTTCAAAGCATTTTTGTAAATTCTAAGCATTACAAGTCCCCTGTGAGGCAAGTAAGAATTGTTTTCCTTTTACAGATGGGGAAACTGAGGCAGATAATTTTGAGTTACTAATCAAAGGTAGTAGAGGAAGTTTGTCTGAGTCGGAATTATAATTTGGAGTTTCTGGTGCCCAGCCCTGTGCTTGCAACTCTCAACTGTGTTAAACTAAAATATCTTTTAGCTGACTACATGGGATTGGTTAAAGATGGGACAAAGTATGGTGAAGTTCCTGAAAGTATGCAGTGTTACATGGAACAGTTCGTTTATAAAAAGATACATCTTAATGACTTAACCAAGAGGATTATATGAGGCAGATGAAGTAAGAGAATGGAAGCCACATAAAGTAGGAATAAAAGACAAATATAGCCAGAACATTCAATTTAAAGGCAAAATAACATTGCTTTTGGAGTTCGAGATGTATCAAAAATTGACACCATTATTTTCAAAATACCGTAGGGGAGCATGTACTAGTCACTCAGCATTCTTTGTTGTTAGTGTTGAGAATGATTCATAATGTTTGAGAGTCACTTCTTATGATGATGGAATCTGGTTGATTAAAAACAGTAGGCAGTTATTGGGTACTGGAAGACTGAACAGAAAAACTATATTAAAAGATTAAGATTATGTATTATTAAGAGAAGTTCAGAGCTCATGATTATTCCCTGTCTTGCCGTTTGTACTGATATACCCAAGCATATGTTTTGCAATACCGTAGTACTATGTGCAGGATAAAGATAAAATTAAACAGTTAGGGCTAGTTTGGTTAAGGAAGAGAGAGGGGGTGTGTGTGTGTGTGTGTTGTAAAGAAGGGCCTTGACTAGCGAGTAGAAGGAAGACCTTGAAAATACTGAGTTATAAGGACAGAAGGAATAAAGCAGGGAGAATGTCTGGTTCAAAGAATAACTAATGAGATAAGGGAAAGCTTTTTTAAAGCCTTTGACAACTGGGGTGGCTGCGGATAGTTTTAAATAAGACAAAAAGAATCTGTCTTAAAATGAGTTACCATGACCCTTCCCAACCCACATACCAGCACTGAAGCCTCTGGGAACCAAGGTGCAATGGAAAAACCGTTGGTCAGCAAGAAGGAGGGGAGCAAAGGCCTTGAAAGGAAAGGTAGTTGTAAATCTTATGTGGATTAAGACTGGAAATAAGGGTGAACTGTCTTAAATTGGTTTTTAGCTGAAGTTAGTAACTGGCAATAATATCACTTGTTTGTTGAAGGGTATAAAAGGTAAACTCTTAAAGGGTTCATTGTTAATATCTGCCTGATTATGTTGAAGCCAACAAGTATAGGTCTAAGCATTCCAGGTTTAGCCTGTTTGTAAGTATCTTGATCAAATGCTTATAAACTTTGCTACTGTTTGGATGTAGTAAATTGCTTATTATTTAGGCTTTTTAGGCATGTTTAGCGCAATTGTATAAATACCATTTGGCCTTTGGATTTAATAAAGGAATTTAGGGTTAAATTAATGTCATGGTAATACTCTGCAATAATAATAATAATTCCAATACAAGGTGAAAAAATGTTGGCTATGATTTAAAAGAAGACTATAAAAATTGTCACTTAGTGCCAGCTTTGTACAGTAATGAACAGATCTTCAGTCCTTTTTAATCTTGTACTTAAATACCGTTTGTCATTTATCAGTTTGTTTTAATAGAATGTTGCCCCTTACTTTGAGGTTATTTTAAACTTGCAGCTCTTCATTTCTCATAAGTTTGAAGCAGCGTGGGTTGATTTAAATCCGCAATCAGGAAACCTTGTTTTAAAGCATTTATTTTAATCTCGTTTTGCATTTGTACTTTTTTGTAATTTTCCTAAAGAAAATTTTAGTCTCATTGGTTGGTATAACTATTAAAACATGTTGACTTGCATCTAAATATAGCCTTTACTCTAAATTTTGAATAAATTTTTGCTAATCAGGAGGACACACTAACTGCTTTAATGCGTAGATAGATCTAGCTCCACATACATTATTCAGATTCTTAATTTTTACATTTTTTATCACATTAGGAAATGGTGAATGATGCATTTCTTATTCACTAGATAATTTTCTACTTTTGGTTTGTGTCAAGCTGCATTTGGATGGAAATTGGGATTAAACTAAAAATAAACCAACATTTTAAAAATTATTTGTATTAGTTAAATATAACTGCCTTAAATATGCTGGTTACATAAGAAACAAGTTTGTCAATACATATTTTTCTTTTAGAACAAACTGACTTATAAAACAAAAGTAGTATTAAGTATAATTAGGGAATTATCTGCATCCTTGGGTCAGATTTTCAAAGGTATTTTGGCATCTAATCTCCTTCCAGATTTTAGAATTAGTAGATCTCATTGTCTCCTACCTGGTTTTTATTTATATATTGGAAGAGGAAAACAAGCTTTCCTGCTTTCTCAGATGGCAAGTAGTTTCTCAACTTTGAATGAACTAATCCAAACTAACAAAGTATTCCCTCTGCTGCTAAACTAAAAGTGATGAAGGCAAAAGCTTTTGTACAGAACAGAAATTGAAAGTACATGCATTTGTGAAATGTCAATGTTTGCTCCATTATAAAGATTGAGAATAATATAGATACTTAATGGAGTGCATGAAATTGTGACACATTTATAAAACTTGAGTTGACCTTCACAGTTAAAGATGTTTTCCTCACGAGTTTGTATATATTTAAAAAAGCAACACTGATTAAAAATATGAAGAGAGCTCATTATTGCAGTGTATTATTTTTTGTTATTTATTTAAATGATTTTAAGATTATATGATGTTTAGGCATTAACATTGGTTGTTATAATTTCAAATTTTAAATTTAAACAGATTTATTTATAAAAAGAAAAATATATTTAAATTAAAAATCTGATTTTTTTAAAAATGAATTATTCTGTTTTAATCCACCTTGCTATAAACTAATCAGCACTTCAGATTTGCACTTCAGCAGATGATATACCAGTATCCAACAAAAGCATAGTTTCTACACCAGACTCCCACCATGGTGGGAGCTTGGTGTTTCTTTTGAATATAATGCTTTTTAAATATCCTCTCTTTTGTTTGGAATAGGGGAATGAAAACATACTGCATTATGATGATGTTGCTGTTCCATTAAATTACTGTAGGATCATATTTAATATAGTAACTACATTTAAAAGGATGTTTTTCTTTGGATGCAAAGTGAGAGATTTAATAGTTAAAATTGAATGTATGATAATAGGGCAGGGGTGGCCACCCTGAGCCTGAGAAGGAGCCAGAATTTACCAGTGTGCATTGCCAAAGAGCCACAGTAATATGTCAGCAGCTCCCCATAAGCTCCCCTGCTCCCAGTGCCTTCCACCCACCGGCAGCCCCGCGGATCAGTACCTCCTCCTCCCTTCCCCCACCTCCTGATCACCTCCTGTTTCGTGGTGTGCAGGAGGCTCTGGGGGAGAGGGGGACGAGCGAGGGCACGGCAGTCTCAGAGGAGGGTCAGAAAGGGGTGGGATGGGGGCAGGGCCTGTGGCAGAGCCAGGGGTCGAGCAGTGAGCACCCCCTGGCACATTGGAAAGTTGGTGCCTGTAGCTCCAGCCCCGGAGTCGGTGCCTATGCAAGGAGCCGCATATTAACTTCTGAAGAGCCGCATGTGGCTCAAGAGCCACAGGTTGGCCACCCTTGTAATAGGGTGTCCCCTCAGCAGATTTTGTAATGCTACCCTTTCTTTTAGTGATGAGGATTGTGCTAACAAAACACTGACTGGAACCAAAATACTATGTTTATAAATGGCTTGATCATTCATGGCCAATATTTTTGATTTAACTCTAATGTCTCAGTAATTTGGTTGTGTTTTGCTTATGACAGGAGGAGGCATCTCCATATACTTTACTTGATATCTGCTTGAATTTTCTGACTGCTGACCTAGAGAAGTTTTGTACAGAAAGGCAAGATGGAACACTGTGCTTGCAGGAGCCTGGAATATTTCCCCAAGAAGTGGCTGATCGACTGCTGCAGACTATGGCATTTCACGGTAAAATCTTTATTTTGAAGGCAGTAGCTGTAGGTTTTCCACTAAAATATGACATTGCAGCCCCTACTTTATAATCTAGTAGAATCTGGCACTGGAGCCACATGAACCCTCTTCCTTAATCTCCAATGAAGGATTTTTGCTCTTCTGGCTTTGTTACAACTTCTGCTGAATGCATCATAGATGGATAGATAGCTGCCCTCGTGGATAAAATGTCCTTTGTCCCATGTTTATGACCTCAGTTTAATGTTTCTTTTCAATTAGATGTCAGCACTTTTCGCTGGGGTTCTTATTTCTGTCAGTTCATCAGATTCCTTTAATCCTCTCTCTTTCTGGAGATGCTCAGATATTTAATTAGAAAGTTAATAGTATCTTTCATGGAGTAATTAACTGAAGTCTGTCTGTTCCACCCTGCATCTGCATAATTACATCTAAAATCATCTGGCTATAACACCTTCATTCATTTCATTTTACACAGTAAGCAGCGTGCGTAAAATGTATTTCCTTGCTGAAAAGACAAACCAAACCAGGGAATGCACTACGAAAAACTGTCAAAACCATTATTTTCTTCTAACTATATATTAAGTGCAGGTCTAATGGAATGGAACTGAGCTCTTGAAAGCTTCCTGTAAAGCAATAAGCATGCTTCTGGAATTATACAAATAAGAAATCTCTGAACTCCTTCCAATCAGTCAATATATTTCAGGTAATAAGGGCCCTTGAAGTAAACATAATATTTGGGTTATTGTCTCACCAGGGTGTTGCAGGGGACTGTGGCCTTCCGACGTCTGCATATGTAGTTCAAAACTGGATTGTCCTCTTCCTTTTTATTTATTTATTCTTTTTACTGCCATGTTACACTGCACATGCTACCAAATTTGTTGTTCTTTCGCTCCCTCATCTCCCACCATATCCCCCTTCATTTCCCACAGATAATGTCTTTTTCACATTGAATCTCTTTCTGAGCAACTGCTACATTCTGAGCATGAGGAATGCATAAAAGAGCTTTGTTAGCTTTGTTTAGTGTATTGGTCCCACTTACAAAAGTAACAGAGTTCTGCTTTTCTGTTTTGTTTTTTATTTTGTTTAAATAGTTAAAGCAGGTTGGAAACTGGTTTTTAATTTCTAATATCAAACTCCAGGCCTTCAATATGGACCGGCCAGGAAATGGAGGGTGGGAGGAATCTCAAAAAAATGTTTTGAATTTTTGTCAAATTTCTAACCAGTTCTCATAAGTTTGTGGTAGATCCATATAAATGCAGGTTTTAATCTAAAATGTCCATCTCAAACATAATTCAAGGTTTTTTTAAAGACAGGTTAATTACCAGTTGAAATTTTCAGCTTTATACGAAGCAGACTAGGTTTTGTATATGTTGTATTATAACTAGGGGTCTGCTTAAATTACGGCAAAATTACGCATTAACACATCTGTGAAATTTGCTATTTATGCCGTGATCAACTCGTGAAAAATATGTGATTTCTCTGCAGTGTTTCTCAAACTAGGGGCCCAGACCCAAAAGGGGGTCAGTCACAAGCTTGTTAGGGTGTCGCAGTTTTGCCACTCTTACTTCTTCACCACTGCTGGCAGCAGTGCTTCCTGAAGCTGGGTGGCGGGATGGAAATACCATGCCACTCTTACTTCTCCGCTGCTGCTGGCAGGCAGCACTGCCTTCAGAGCTGACCACTTGATCAGCAGTTGCCACTCTCCCACCATCCAGGTCTGAAGGCAGAGTGCAGAGTGGTGGCTGCTGGTAGGGTGTCCAGCTCTGAAGGTAATGCTGCCTGCTAGCAACAGTGGAGAAAGAAGGGTGGCATACCATCCTTACTTCTGTGCTGCGGCAGCACTGCCTTAAGAGCTGGGCAGCCAGAGACCAGATTTCATGGGGGAGACCAGATTTCATGGTCTGTGAGATGATTTTCATGACTGTGCATTTGGTAGACTCCTAATTATAACTACATTGACTGCAAACAGTAAACTGAACCAGTTATTCTTGTTAACCCTTGTCGTTTTTCCCCCATAGGTTTCAAAAAAATCTGTAATATAACATAAACTTATTGCTGTTTTTCAACAGGGCTGCTGAATGATGGAACTGTGGGCATCTTCCGAGGCAACCAGATGCGCTTGAAACGAGCTTGTATCCGGAAAGCAAAAATCTCTGCAGTGGCTTTCCGGAAAGCATTTTGCCATCACAAGCTGGTAGAACTTGATGCTACGGGAGTGAATGCAGATATTACAATCACAGACATCATAAGTGGACTTGGCAGCAATAAATGGATCCAACAAAACCTTCAGTGCCTTGTGCTGAACTCATTAACTCTCTCCTTGGAAGACCCATATGAAAGATGCTTCAGTCAGTTGTCTGGTCTTCGTGCTTTGAGCATTACCAATGTTCTGTTCTACAATGAAGACTTAGCAGATGTTGCATCACTTCCAAGGTTAGAAAGTCTAGATATATCCAATACCTCTGTCACTGACATAACTGCACTCCTCACCTGCAAGGATCAACTTAAGTCTCTGACCATGCACCACCTGAAATGCTTGAAAATGACGACCACACAGATTTTGGATGTTCTAAGAGAACTAAAATATCTGAATCATCTTGATATTTCAGATGACAAACAATTCACATCAGATATAGCACTTCGTTTACTAGAACAGAAAGATATCCTACCTAACCTTGTGTCTTTGGACATTTCTGGAAGAAAGCATGTTACAGATGAAGCTGTAGAAGCATTTATTCAGCAACGGCCAACAATGCAGTTTGTGGGACTGCTAGCTACTGATGCTGGCTACTCAGAATTCCTTACAGGAGAAGGAAACTTAAAGGTTCGACTTTTTAAATTTAAGTCTATTTAAGGTTGTGACAACAAACGTGGTTCTTCCAGAATGAAATTATAGGTTCACCTACCATCATAGTATTTTTATCCATTAATGGCAATTGCTAATAACTGTGGCTTAGGCCTTCATGTAACTGTCCTGGAGCCAAAATTTGGGTCATATTTAGGGTAAAATTGTCTATTTTTCCATACCAGTCAATGAGTCTTGAAGTACTGCTTTAAGATATCAAACCTATCGGAACAGGATGTTAGCAATGGATAGTCTGAAACTATTTATTGGCATAATAAACTCTGGTTCCTCGGCATGACCTTTAGCGTAAAGCATCAATATTTCAGAGCCTGATTCATATTGATGCATTGGCATTTGAATACAGCTTTGAGCAGTTCTACTTAACACAGTAGATGCAATAAAACTTTATATTCAGGAACTGCTTTTGTACTCCAGCTCAACATCTGTTTTTCAGATTGATGTTTCTGCCTGTCACCCGGCCCTTTTATTACATCAGATGTGAGCCTCACCTCTGCCCCCTCTTTTCTGGATAGGGCATCGGCTACCTTGTTCTCAAACCCCTGAATACGTTTAATACACCTGCAAAGCTGCAGTGTAGAATCTGGAGTTGGTTCATTTTGTTCTCTGGAACCATATTAATGGTGAGTGATCCGTTAACAGCCTGAACCACTTGTTGGAAGGATCTGAGCTGTTTTACACCCCACACTATAGCGTAACATTCCTTTTCTATTACCTGGTAATTCTGTTCAGTGAGAGACAGGTTTTTGCTCAGAACTGCAATGGGGTGTTTCTTCCTGGTCTGCATCAGTACATCTCGTAGGCTTGTGTTGGATACATCAATTCAAATACTTTCTTAAAATCTGGACTGGCCAAAATGGGTGTGCATCTCCCTCTTGATCTGTTCCCTCATTGTCCCTGTAGCCCTGTAAGCCCTTCTGTTTACTAGGTGTGCATCACTGGTGTTAATGTGGTGGTCTCTCTGGTAAGTGAAACCAGGTTTGTTAGAAAATACCATTTTTCGACTTTGTAACACAGCCATTACTTCTCTCCTTTTATTTTTTTTACGGGGATTAGCTCTTAATTAATGCTCTCTAAAGGGTTCTCTCCGTTACTTTCAGACATTAAGTCTGAGAGGCAATACTTTGTGTTCCTCATCTGCATAGCATATCATGTTGACTATAGCCTCTCCGTTATGGTGAGCTTTCACTCTGTTAATATGTACAGTTGTGATAAATCCTGACTATAGGGTTTCTGTACTTGATAAGTGAGTTCATTCAGTTTCTCTGTCGCCTCAAAGGGACCTTCCCATGAGAGTATTTCATGCTTTTTGTAGGGGCAAATACCAAAACACCTAGATTAAAGCTCTTTCACTTGTTTTCTTGTCATAGCATGCTTTTTGTATAGCTTGGCTTTCTTCAATATTATGCTGTACCAGCTCCATAATGGTTTTAGCTCTGCCATGAATTTAGGTACAAATTCAGTTATATTGAAATGTCTGCTAATATGTGTGAGCAGCTGATTTTTGTACTGATACCACTTAAGAATAAACAGTAGACACCCACTGTAATTTCCTGTGAGATCAGAACAGTTGTATAACAGTACAGTAAAACTTCTCTATGAAATCTCTTGTGAGGATAAACTGATAACCCTAGGTAATATAGCATGTGAAACAGACATGAAGCTGGACATGAGTTCCAAATGGTGTCGGTTTTTTTACTCGCAAAATGCATCATAGTTTAGTGATAATCAACACTGTATTTTATCAGTAGGGGAAGTAAAAACATGACAACCGCATCTCTCAGAACAGTGTAGTATGAAAGATTATTTCCTGGTCTGGCAGCAAGATATGAGAGATTAGTTTGGCCCAAGCAATATGGTATGCAGAACATTGATTGATTGTGGACTTGTTCACTGTAAACTATTTTAAATAAACACATTAAATGAAAAGTCTCTTGGCAACATGTAGCCCTTCAGATATTCTGAGGTGAATTAACTAAACTTTTTTTTAATGTGTATAACAATTCACCAACTGCAGTCAGTGAACCATTTACTTGCCCATAGGAAACACATGAAGTACCATAGCATATTGCTTATGAATAAAGAGATTTAAAAAGCAATGGCATTAGATAATGGGAGTGCTTGCTGTAACAGGGGTGAAAAAGATACCAGGTGAGCAAGGGAAGTTTTTAAAGGTACTCTCCAAAGCCTAAGTTCTTTTGTCTTGACTGCAAAATAAATAAATAAAAAAGTGTGTTCTTAACCCGAGTTTTATGAACTCATAGAAGTGTAAGACTGGAACGGATCTCAGTAGGTTATCTCGTCCAGTCCCCTTCCTTCAAGGTAGGACTAAGTAATAACTAGACCAGGGGTTCTCAAACTTCATTGCACTGCAACCCCCTTCTGACAACAAAAATTACTACACAACCCAGAAGGGGGGACCAAAACCTGAGCCCGCCCGAGCTCCACTGCCAAAAGCCTGAGCACTGTCATCCAGGCTGAAGCCCTTGGGCTTTAGTTTTGGCCCTGTGCACTGGGTCTCAGGCTTTGGCCCTGGGCAGTGAGGCTCAGGCTTTGGCTTCTGCCTTGGATGGTGGGGCTCGAGCTTCATCCCTGGGCCCCAGCAAGTCTAACTCCAGCCCTGGTGATCCCATTAAATGGGGTCACAACCCACTTTGGGGTCCTGACCCACAGTTTGAGAACCGCTGAACTAAACCATTCCTGACAGGTGTTTGTCTAATCTGCTCTTAAAACCTCCAATGACAGAGATTCCACAACCTTCCGAGGCAATTTGTTCCAGTGCTTAAGTTAATTAACTCAAGGTAAATTCTAGTGAAGGCAATTGTGATTTTTCACACAGTGGATTTGATTGAAATCAAATTGATTTAAATCATGATTTAAATCACTAGTCAGGAAGACTTGATTTAATCATGTTTTGCTACATAAAAATACATTCTTGTTGGTTGTTATAACCTTAATACATATTCTTCACAACTCAGTGATAGATGTAGGTTTCATTTTTAGAAGGTACACACGATACATTTTTAAATAGTGATGTGTTTTGAAAACTTTTCAGATTAGTTTTACAGCTACACCTCTACCCCGATATAACGTGACCCGATATAACATGAATTTGGATATAACGCGGTAAAGCAGCGCTCCGGTGGGGGGCGGGACTGCGCGCTCTGGTGGATCAAAGCAAGTTTGATATAACGCAGTTTCACCTATAACGCGGTAAGATTTTTTGGCTCCCGAGGACAGCGTTATAGCAGGGTAGAGGTGTGTTATCAGAAAATGAATGATTGTTTGGTTATTTCATTTACCAAAGGTAATTGAAGCAGATATTTATGAAGTCATTGGGAGGTGAACTATCTCTAATTCAACAGGTTAATCATTAATATTTGAAGGATTTCCTTGCCATGTTGTATTAGGAGGAAAACATCACCAGACAGTTTAAATTGTTTTATTTAACTAAAACAACAACGTTAGGTATTCTGGATTTTTTTTCTTCAGCAGCAAACATATGCTTTTTTGTTAATATATTATATGTACCCCGCTTCTCACATTTATCTCCAGACTTCTCCTTGTCCAGATCTATTCCGCCCCCAACTATCTTCTATTCATTGAACTTTTTGAAACTTTGCACTTTTAGAGAGAGGTAAGGGATTGACTCTGTGTACAAATTTGCAGAGGGACAATAGGGCTGAGGTCTGTTATTTCTCACCTCTATATATTTATTTATTTAAAAATATTGTTGCTGTTAACAAGCATGTTACCTCTGGAGACACAAATCCACAGTTTGAGAACTGCAAAACTAAGCATCTCTGGTGGTATCTCCTAGGCTGAGCACTGAGTCCCATTGGGTAGATAGAAAGATTAACCTAAATAATCTATACAGAAGCCTGTAGACCCCCATAAAATTGGGTCCCTAATCCATGAACTATTGGAACTCATTTACAAAACTTTTCTTAAACATTACATGAATATATTGTCTCATACTATAGAATTAGAAGTTATAATCCCTATTCCATGTTGAGATATCTTTGAGCTATAATGTATCTTAATTAAAACTATCTTTAGATAGGTTTTTTCCCTCAAAAAGCATTTTATAAAAAAAAATCCAATTTAAATAAAAACATCCAATTTTTTTTTAAATCATTGATTTTTATCCACCCTAATTTTTCACACGAGTTAGCAAGTTGAGTTAGTGTAGGCTTTAAGAATACATTTCTTTTTTTTTTTTTTTTTTTTTTTAAGTGAATATAGGACCTATGATACTTCTCGTTAATAGAGTTCTGGGAAGCTATAGCTACTGATTGAACTAATTAGTAACCTGCAAAAAACAGGGAAGCTTTCTCTCATTGGTGTGGCTGAATCAAAGCACCTCCTCCAGCTGAGAAAATTGCATCAAGTATATTGCTTCAGCAGCAGTGTGTGCCCATTTATGACGGATCATGCAGCTGTGAATCTTGCTTATAAGGCAAAAATTGACACAAGCAACATTAGTTGGTTATGGAGTGACACGCTTCCTGCCTGATTGGTTACAGGGAGCTCTAGTCAAAGATTGGATTGAAGCTGAGTTTTGGTTTATACTTAGGGCCTTACCAAATTCACAGCCCTGAAAAATGCGTCACGGACCGTGAAATCTGGTCTCCCCCTGGTCTCCCCCTTTTGTGTACTTTTACCCTATACTATGCAGATTTCACGCGGGAAACCAGCGTTTTTCAAACTGGGATCCTGACCCAAAAGAGGGCTGTGGAGCAGGGTCACAAGGTTATTGTAGGGTGGATGCAGTATTGCCACCCTTACTTCTGTGCCACCTTCAGAGCTGGGTGGCCGGAGAGTGGTGACTGCTGTCCAGGCATCCAGCTCTGAAGGCAGCACCCCGCCAGAAGCAGTGCAGAAGTAAGGGTGGCAGTACCGTACAATGCCACCCTTACTTCCACCCTGCTGCCTTCAGAGTTGGGTCAGGACCCCTACAGTTACAACACCATGAAATTTCAGATTTAAATATCTGAAATCATGAAATTTACGATTTTTTAAAATCCTATGACCATGAAATTGACCAAAATGGACTGCGAATTTGGTAGGGCCCTATTTATACTGTACAATGTTACCTTATTTCAATGGGAAATGTTAAAGTTTGTCTAGTCCTGGGCTACTGCTGGCAGATCATGTACGAGGTAGATGAAATGTTAAAAACACAGGGATTTGGATAAAATGCCACCAGTTTTGGAACAACAGTTTTGCACAATTAAGAAAAATCAAATTCCGAAATACAGTAATGACAGCTTTTAAAAAATGGTAATATAAACTTCTTTGTCTGTTCAAAGGTGTCTGGAGAAGCAAATGAAACTCAAATTTCTGAAGCACTGAAGCGGTACAGTGAGCGGGCATTCTTTGTGAGGGAAGCACTCTTTCATCTATTCAGCCTTACACACATTATGGAAAAAACAAAGCCTGAAATTTTAAAGGTAAAAAAAAAAATACACTTCAGATGAGAAAATCTTGCTCTGTTCTGTAAATTTAATTTCAGATGAACATCTGGAAAGCTTATAATATACTGAAAACTTAGTGTATGTTATGTAGCTTTCTTCTGCCTGTTTAGTTACTTGATTATTGCTTAAGAGGTTTAGTAGAAATCATTAAGCTTTTGTTAATGTTCATGTGAAAATGATTTATGAGGTAATGGTGTGGAAGGTGCAAAATAGTTGATTTTCCTCTGAAAAGAGGGACCAAGCTAATTCAGCAGCAGTATGAATTCATTTTACAAATAAATACTTCTGAATATGGCTTAGAATAGTCTCCTTGTATTGCATTATGACATGCTAACTATTGAACAAGTATTGCTTAAAGATAGGCTATTGAGTTACCTGTAGGATTTATTAGACTAAAAGCCTGTCCCTAGGACACTAGCTTTGTATCATTGGTGCCCCAGAGGTAGTTCAATCTTTATCATTACAATGGAAGGAGAGATCAGAGAGGTTCAGTTTTCTAACAAAAAAGATAATTGATCAACATCGTTCAAGTTAAACAAGTGACTTTAAGAAAACATCATGATTCTTCCACCCCTACTGTGTTAGCAGGAGATATTGCGGCTCGATCATGTTAGTGTCAATTGCAAAGAGAGTTTGGATATTCAATCACCAGCAAAGATTACTCTTCCATTTCCCTGTGTATAAGTATTTGTGACAAGTTTACAAAGCCAAAAACATAACCTGATAAGGGATGGCTATAGGCCTATGGTAAATTGGCAGCCGCCTTGCTGTAGTAGCACTAAGATTACTGTGGTTACTTACAATAGGCCAGTACTGTACCTTTTCTATGCTGCAGACTTTGTCCATCTCATTCCTGCTCGTGAAGGGTGTTTCTGTTTCTATGCAGTGTGTGCAGCAGCTTGGGGTATCAGAACTGCCTCAGAATCTTTTGCAACATGTTGCAACAGCAATCCTTTGAGAGATTGCTGCAACTGGTGCAAAGCACTCTGGGCAATGTAAGTTATCTGCTTTAAATGACTGAGCAAAAGCAGAGAGGCTCTTTCGGGATGCTGAAATGTCCCTCACTGGGTTGCTGAATTGAGTGAGAGGTAGAGAGGAACTGTGGTGCACAAAATCACATCTGCTTCTGGCACCAGTGGATCCAGGGTTGCTCTTCAGTATGTGGATTTGTACGTAATGTGAATATGATTTTTTTTGTCTTTCAGCTTGTGGTTATTGGAATGCGAAATCACCCTCTGAACTTGCCTGTGCAGTTAGCAGCAAGTGCATGTGTGTTTAACTTAACCAAGCAAGATTTAGCAGCAGGCATGCCTGTTCGACTACTGGCTGGTGTCACTCACTTACTCCTTAAGGCCATGGAACATTTTCCAAACCATCAACAGGTAAAAATATTAGGTTTTGTTTTTCTGTGGATTTCTCATCCTAACAGGAGGCCTAATAATAGAAATACAGCCCAGGTGCTGTGAAGTGTTTCTGCTTTCAGAATATTTTAATGTTATGACGTATTGACTGTAAGCTAAATAGAGCCTCAGCTGTCTTGTAAGCTTGCTGGGGGTCTAACCATCCCTGTAGATATTGCAAAACAATAGGAACTTAACAGAGAAGAGGCAAGGTCTTGACTCCACCTCAACGTTGGCTTTGAACAGATATACCCAAATATGTTTGTGTACGGTATGCACACTTGATCTATTGTAACTTGAAAGGCTCATCTTTGTGCCAGTTTTATTCTTAGATTGCAGTTCATTAATATAATCATGATGCATGACCTAACTTGTACCGGTGCAGTTTGATAGTTAACTTAGTAGAGTTAAGGATCTGTGGTTGTACTATTGCTACGAATGGCATCACTGTACAGTGAGATTCCACCTAACAGGCACTAATAGTAGCTGCATTTTCTCACTGATAAACACATGGGCAAGGAATGTCTGGTGCCTTTCTGTCCTTGATCTATGCATTCCCTGAAGTCACTTCCCTGTTAAACTCTCTGCCTCATAGGAGTGCAGTTTGTAGAAGCAATGTTCCTCTAGCATGGCTTTTTTAAAGCCTTTATTTTACTGAAATCAAACTAATCAACAAACTAGGGCAATAAGAGGTAAATAAAAGAATAATGCCTATTGTCATCTCTATCAACCATTGTATGCACAAAACTCAGTAACTGCTAAACATTTCCTCACACAGCAAAAAACAAAGAACCAGAACAGAAAGGAGAGACACAAAACAGGAGAGATACCACCTATAGATATCTGACAGCTATGCCCCAATGATTATCACCATGATATTATCATTATCCAGGCAGGTTTGAGTTAAGTAAAAGTCCAGAACTGATTATGTTGTCCTTTACAAAAACAGCCCTGAAGTTTATGGTAGAGAATTTTGGATATATGGGTGCAACGTCTCTCTACATGTTGTCTGTGGGTTATTGCTCAGTAAAGCATGACTAATGTATTGGAGGAAAGCTTCCCTCCAAAGAGAAATGTGGAAACTTCTTGTGTAGTCCCTAATTACAAAACTCATTTTGGATGATAAGCAGCAAAGTAGCAGCAGGCCTGGCAGGATTTGCTTGTGAGTTGTTTCAAAGAGGTCAAGCTAGTTGAAAGGTGTGGGGGTTATATCACATTCCACAGGCTGTGAGGAATGAATGCCTACCTTTTCCCAAAAGTTAGCAAATGCCTGATATAACGAAAGAGGCTGCCATTCTCAGCAGTATATTTTGGGCAATTCTCAGTCTAAAATGTCAACTTTAAAGACTGTGTACTGGGGGCAAATAAGCCCTGTTTTTAATATCTGGTACAGTGTTTCTCTTCCACCATGGGTCTAGAGCAGTGATAATCAGACTGGCTTTCAAGCCGCAACCGGCTCTTTAATGTGTCTCCTGCGGCTCTTTGTAGCACATGATATTAAAACGCTCTCTGATTTAATTATTAACCAGTCAGGATTCTTTTACTATGTTATTAACTAATTAAAATATCAACTTGCACTAAGTTATTAACTTATTTGCTGTGAGAATAATATTTAGTTGATATATATATATTTCTCCTGTCATTCACACTACTGTGGCTCTTTTGGGTAATGTTGATCGCTAATTTGGCTCCTGAACCACTGAGGTCTAGACAGTTTTGATACAGACCTGTTTTTCCAAATATTTTGGGGGTATTTCTTTACCCAAGTCCACTTCCAAAGGTTTTCTAGTATTTTCCTCTGTTGGCAACAAATTAATAATTTTTGTAGTCTGGATTTCAGAGATCATGAATGATTTGCAGATTTCATTAATTGTGATAGGCTAACTGGCCTAGAGTGCTCTGTGTTTTGGGATATAGCTTTGAAGAAAGTTGTGGATTTTTAAAAACTCTTTCTCCCACTTCATTGGACCGTTGAGTTTAATAGTAAGAGGAAGAAATGCTCTAGGTGCAAGACTATAGTACAGCCAATTATATCTTTGTAGCCATGTCTACCTGGCTCTTATTAAGTTGTTGACCCTACCCATTTGAAGGTCAATTATGAATAGTCATTCTAGAAACCTTAATTAACAATAGGAAATTGTCATTGTACAATTTGACACCACTTTCCCCCCAAAAAGCCCTTATACTTTGTATTGGGTAAAGAGACCATGTGAAACTTGACTCCCCAGTATGGTATGGCACATTCTGTAGTGAAGAGGGTGTTGTTGTTATGTAAAGGACTTTGCTTTGTTCTAGAAAAATTATTTGTGTTTTTGATTTGACCCTTCTCTTGTTTAGAAATATAACCATTTACAGTATAGTACATGATCCACCAAACTTCCACAATTCTGGTGTAACAAGGAAGCACTTTGAAATTTTTGTATTTTTCTGCTGAACACTTTTTTGATGTCCTACAGCTGCAGAAGAACTGCCTTCTTTCACTGTGCAGTGACAGGATCCTTCAGGATGTTCCATTTAACAGGTAAATTTAATCCTATTAATTAAAATGGGATGTAGAATAACGTATCAATGGGTTTTGGTTGTTAATTTTTAATCTCCTGGATTGTAGCGTTTATCTTTGAAATATGCTAATTGTTGGCCTAGTCTCAGGAAAAGAGAACCCTGCCATTTTGGAGACCTGATTTTGATTCATAGGGTTAGATTCTGATCTCAGATCCCATAGTAACTCGTGTATACGTGAGAATTTTTTGGGCCCATAATTCACAATTATATGGCTTATGGGTCTGAAAAAATCCTTGTCTAGACAAGGCAAATGACTTCAGTTAAATTACTCTAGCTCTACACTGGAGTAACAGAGATCGGAATTTAATCCCCAGTTTGCTGAATCTCTGGATTTGTGGAAGTGAGTTTTGTCATTTTGCAGTGGTCCCTTTATTTAAAAACTTTGGAAGGCTTTGGAGGGTTTGCATCCAACATGCCTAGGTCAGATGATGAAGGGTAGAGAAAGTGAGGGGTTATCTCTGGTTTTAGGCCAATTCTCCTTCAGCTCTTTACAGAAGAGGACCTTGTGCTTTTATATTAAACTTCTAGTAAAAGAGACACTGGGGGAGCAGATCCTGAAATCTGAGTAATCCCTGTGATCTTGGTCTAATTGAAGATTTTATATTTTCTGTAGCAGGCTGGCAGACTGTAAGCTCTTCATGTTTTCAGTAGATAGATTTCTGTTGGTGGTTTTCCTTGGCTTACCTAAAGGTTGTTGTAAGAGTTGATGTTGAAACTTTTCTGAGTGTTGCTCTGTAAATTTCACTCATTGAGTGGGCTTGAGACTAGCTTTGCCTGCTCTTAATTCCACTGTTCACTTCCACCGTCTTGGGACAAAGCACAGTGCTTCCAATTTCGACTGCCTGGGGGCATCCTGGTCTGATGTGTGGTGTGTATTTTCCTTTTTAAAGGCTTACGTGACTTCTGTTCTGAAAATAAAAACTGTTAACTTTCAGGTTTGAAGCAGCTAAGCTTGTTATGCAGTGGCTGTGTAACCATGAAGATCAAAATATGCAGAGGATGGCAGTGGCTATAATCTCCATTCTAGCTGCAAAGGTACAAGACTTATAAATGTAGAAGTGCTGAAGTATAATTTACTGGGTCCTGATGATTTTTCTGATATTCCCTAATGTTTTTGTTTATAGCTTTCAACTGAGCAAACAGCTCAACTTGGTGCAGAGCTCTTCATTGTTAGGGTAAGTCCAGTGCTGTCTCTTACAAATTGCTACCCTGGATCTCCTATTTTAAATCATTTTGAAATTGGCTACAGTTAGGTGTATTCTATCAAATTAAAAATAAGCAGTTACATTTTACCTTCCGTCAGTACTGCTACCAGGAAAAGATTGGCACTCCAGACTGTCAGGAGGGCACTCGCTCACCATGTTAATGAGGGTGGCCTGTGGGCCCAGTAAATAGAAGCCAAAGTAAATAACTTGATTGTGTCAGGACTTAAATGACTGCAGTATGGATGGAAAACTCAACTCTGACTCAAACTTTTTGTTGTTTGCAATGAAGTTTACCTTGAAAACAAGCTCCCATGGACATGTTTACATTGGCATGCAGGTACAGTACATGGGGCCACTGTGGTGTCAACTGGCTGGAGCAATACACAGAGGTTAAACTAGGTATCTCACATCTTTTAAAAAAGTTTAACATGTTTTTACTGGAGTTTGGAATAAAATTGAGACACAGAACAAACTATCAGAAGTCATTGTTTGTGGGACCTGGTTTCAGGAGCAGTCTGATGGCTTCAGCTCCAGGGCAGTGGAAATACAGATTTCAGACATGTCTCTCTCAATTTCTGGAGAGAGACTATGATGCAAAACACATCTCTGATGGTGCCTTACTTTGGCCAACCAGTATACCAAACTACATTTCCTTAATGTCTGTGCAGGATAGATGTTCAAGTGAAAGCTATTGATCAGTTATAAACCTTAATTGTCTTCAGAATAAATTAGGTGTCTTAGTGGAGTTCATTGCAGAACCAAAAAAGTCAGAATCTTGATCCAGCTTATTTGATGCAAGTCACTAAAAGTAGTGGGTACTAGCTATTAAAACCAAATGGAGGTTTAAATTAGTATTTAATATTTTCCCCTACCAACCTTAGTTTAATGTTTTTCTCTTTTTAAAAATGTACAATAGAATATTTAGGAAAAATTGTCATTGCTTGCAACAATCAAACGGAGGTGGTGGTCTTGTACAGTTGGCCCATAACAATCCTGTAAGAGGTTTAAGAGGTAGAGAGATGGAAAAAAAACAGCCCACAAGCATGTAGGAACAAAGTTAAAAAGGCCAACTTACAAAACAAGATTAAACTAGCTAGGAACATAAAATGTTTTCTTTTTACAAATACATTAAAAGCAAAAGGAAGATCAAGGACAGGTAGGCCCATTACTCAACAAGGAGGGAAAGGCAATAACAGAAAACACAGCAATGAGTGAAGTATTAAATGTCTTTTTTGCCTCCTTTTTCACCAAAAAGGTTAGCAGTGATTGGACATTTAACACAGTGAACATCAGTTTAAATGGGGTAGGATCTGAGGCTAAAATAGGGAAAGAACAAGTTAAGAATTACCTAGACAAATTAGATACCTTAAAGTTGGCAGGACCTGATGAAATACATCCAGAATATTTAAGGAACTGGCTGAAGAGATCTCTGAGCCACTAGTGATTATCTTTGAGAACTCATGGTGGAAGGGAAAGATCCCAGAGGACTGGAAAAGGGAACATATAGTACCTATCTATAAAAAAGGGAATAAGGACAACCCATAGAATTATAGATCAGTCATCTTATCTTTGGTACCAGAAAAGATAATAGAGCAAACAATCAATCAATCAGCTTGTAAGCACCTAGAAGATAATAAGGTGATAAGTGACAGTCAACATAAATTTGTCAAAAAAAAAAAAAAATCATGTCTAACCAACCTAACATACTACTTTTGACAGGGTAGCAGGCCTGGTGGATGAGGGAGGAAAGCAGTAGATGTGAATCTCTACTTCAGTAAGGTTTTTTGATACTGTCTCATAAGCAAACTAGGGAAATATATACCCTAGATGAACCTACTATAAGGTGGATGCACAAGTGGTTGGAAAACTGAACTCCGAGAGTAGTTATTAATGGTCCATGTCAAGCTGGAAGGGCATATTGAGTGGGGGTCCCACAGGGATCTGCCCTGAGTCTGGTACTATTCAATATCTTCATAAATGATTGGATAATGGCATAGAAAGTACACTTACAAAGTTTGTGGACAATACCAAGTGGGGAGGGGTTGCAAGCACTTTGGAGGATAGGATTAGAATTCAAAATGATCTTGGCAAACTGGAAAAATGATCTGAAATAGGATGAAATTCAATAAGGACAAATCCAAAGTACTACTTTTAGGAAGGAATAATCAATTGCATAAATACAAAATGGTAAATGGCTGCTTGGATGGAGTATTGTAGAAAAGGATCTGGGGGTTATAGTGGATCACAAACTAAAATGAGAATCAACAATGTAATACTATTGCCAAAAACGCTAACTTCATTCTGGGATATATTAGCAGAAGTGTTGTAAGCAAGGCATGAAAGGAATTCTTCCAGTCTACTCAGCACTGCTAAGGCTTCCTCTGGAGTATTATGTCCAGTTCTAGGTACCACACTTTAGGAAAGAGCTGAACAAATTTGAAAAAGTCCAGAGAAGAGCAACAAAAATCATTAAGGGTGTAGAAAACATGATCTACAAGGAAAGATTGGAAAAAAAAAAAGGTTTGTTTAGTCTGGAGAAAAGAAGATTGAGGGGGGACATAAGTCTTCGAGTATGTAAAAGGTTGTTACAAAGAGGAGGGTGATAAATTGTTCTCTTTATCCAGTGATGACAGGACAAGAAGCAATGGGCTTAAATTGCAGCAAAGGAAATTTAGGTTAGACATTAGGAAAAACTTCCTAACAGTAAGGATAGTTGAGCACTGGAAAAAATTACCTAAGAGGTTGTGGAATGTCCATCATTGGAGATGTTCTTTCATCATCTAACATGTTCTTTCATTTAAGAACATGTTAGACAAACACGTCAGACAAACACGTCAGTAATGGTCAAGATAATACTTAGTCCTGTCTCAATACAGGGAACTGGACTAGATGACCTATCAAAATCTCTTTCAGTCCTACATTTCTATGATGCTATGAATATACTTGATCTCTTATAAAAGAATACAAGCATGAGGGTGTATAGAAAAATAATTAGTGGAAATATACGGAAAAACTGACTGTGTTAATTGCTAAGTATATTAATCTCCATTCTAATCAGAGATGCAGTTACTTATTGCCCTAGACTGTGCATAAGTAAACAAAGATGATATAGGTATAGCTCACACAACTTCAAAGTTAATTTTCCTTTTTGTTCTTCCTTTTTCAGCAACTTCTACAAATAGTTAAGCAGAAAACAAATCAGAATCTAGTGGATACTACACTCAAGTTTACACTGAGTGCGCTTTGGAATCTCACTGATGAATCTCCAACCACATGTAGGCACTTTATTGAAAATCAAGGGCTAGAACTCTTCATGAGAGTCTTAGAGGTGAGGACTATGGTTTATGCAGTGGATTTCGTTCCTTGGTTCTAAAATTTCAGCATTAACAAACAATTATTTTGTGTCTTACATAAGCTATGCTTCACTTTACAGTCCTTCCCATCTGAGTCATCTATCCAACAGAAAGTTCTTGGCCTTCTGGTAAGAAGAATAGAAAAACTATAAATTTTACAGAAATACCAGTTGTTCTTAATTGTGTCCATATTTAATTTCTGTTTGAGAATTGGCTTAGATCAGGGGAGGGCAAACTACGGCCCACGGTCTGGATCTGGCCCATAAGGGCTTTTCAGGATTGCCAGCCTCTGGCGCAGCGGGGCTAAGGCAGGCTCCCTGTGTGCCCTGGCCCCACGCCGCTCCCGGGACGGCTGGCACCATGTCCCAGCAGTCCGAGGGGGTGGGAGAGCAGAGGGCTCCATGCACTGCCCTCACCTGCAGGCACTGCCCCCTGGAGCTCCCATTGGCCGGGAAAGGGGAACTGCGGCCAATGGGAGCTTCGGGGCTGGTACCCGCAGGTGAGGGCAGCACGCGGTGGAGCCGCCTGCCCTACCCCACCCCCAGGAGCCACTGCCAGACATGCTGGCCACTTCCAGGAGTGGCGCAGGGCCAGGGCAGGCATTGCCTTAGTCCCGCTGCGTGCCACTGCCACCCCAGAGCCGCTTGAGGTAAATAGTGCCAGGCTGGAGCCTGGACCCCAAATCCCCCCTGCACCTCAACCCCCTGCCCTGAGCCCCTTCCCGCACCCCACACCTCCTCCTGCACCCCAATGCCCTGCCCTGAGCCCCCTGCTGTATTCCACAGCCCTCCTGCACCCCAACCCCTTGCCCTGAGCCCCTTCCTGCACATTGCACCCCTCCCCACGCTCCCTCCAGCCCCCTGTCCCAGCCCTACATTCATGGCCCTGCATACAATTTCCCCACCCAGATGTGGCCCTCGGGCCAAAAAGTTTGCCCACTCCTGGCTTAGATGGTACACTGTGAATTATACTTTATTTTCTTAACCTTTAATCTTACATATTGGGTTCTTGGGAGCTATGCGTTTGACATCATGATTTTTAAACTACATTGCCAGTGTTTCCAAAGCATGACCTTATGTAGGTGTGGCTATTTAATAGTTATTATGGACAGTCTGAGCCTTCAGGAAAGAGCAGGGAGTAAGTCCTCAAATGACTTCAAGGACTCAAAAGAAGGTTAAAGGTTAAAAGTCAATGGGACTTTAGGGTCCTACATCACTCTGGGTAAATTCTCAAAAGGATCTGTTTAGAAGTTTTTATTGTTTTTTAAAAAAAGAGCGTAAATAACTTAGTGATATATGTCTTAATGGTTTGAGGGAGTCTTTCATGGAAGGGAATGTGTTGAGGTAGGAAGTGAACGCCGTTAACTTTTAGACAAATTCAGAGTAAAATGGGGAAATTTTCAAAGGCAAAATAGATGCCTAGCTCCCATCTATAACTTTGAAATTTGCCTCTACTATCCATACATATGACTGAGTTGACGTTATACGCCCATTAATACATCATTATTTCTATTGATATTTTCTCAATTCTGTTTTTCTACAGAACAATATAGCAGAAGTGAAAGAGCTACATTCTGAGCTAATGTGGAAGGACTTCATAGACCACATCAGTAAACTATTGCACAGTGTTGAGGTAGAAGTCAGTTACTTTGCAGCTGGGATTATTGCTCATTTGATATCTCGAGGAGAGCAGGCCTGGACATTGAGTCACACTCAGAGGACATCTCTTCTTGAACAACTGGTACAGAAATAGCTAAATTTATTCCCTGCTTTTGTGTTATATTAATATTAATTGCCTTTAATTAGCATTAAGAATTACAGCACTTGGTTCTCTATCTTGCAGCACTCAGCCATTTTGAATTGGCCAACGCCAGAGTGTGAGATGGTTGCCTACAGGTAACTACTGCCTTGATTTAAAGTTTGGAACATAGTAACTCTAGCACCCTTCAACTTGCTCTAAAAATTACAGGTCTCTGCCTGAAGCATTGTAGGCTGCCCGCCAAACATTGTCCCTATGAACAAAACCATGCTTCTGGATGGTACCCTCTAGTATCTTACCTTGGACAAGGTGGCTTGGCCTCTGGGAGTGATGGGAGAAATGAGTCAGCCTGGGTCTCCTTTCAGAGGCGGATATAGGGCTGTTCTTTTCCTGTCTCCTCCTACAGCCAGCCTTACCTCTTTAGGTAGACTTTCGGATTAATGTTCAACGGACCATATGAAGAAACTAAACAGCATATTAGCTATTGAGCTACAGTAATATAGGGTGGTATTGTATGCCATAGATTCCTGGGTTTTAAGGCTGGAAGGGACCATTAGATCATCTTGTATGACCTATTCTGTAACACAGGCTAGGTACGCCTGCCTGTAAGTAATATGAGACACCAGATGCTATGGCTTAGAGTAGTGATTTACTGGTAAATAACATATGTAAACTATCTTAAGCACTGGGAATAAAAGTCAAATACTGCATCCAAGACTCTAATACAGTGGTTTTCAAACTGTGGGTCGGGACCCCATTTTAATGGGGTTGCCAAGGCTGGCATTAGACTTGATGGGACCCAGAGCCAAAGTCTGAGCCTCAACACCCGGAGCCCAAGCCCGAGTCCCACTGCCCAGGGCCCGACCCCCACTGCCCAGGGCCAAAGCCAAAGCCCGAGGGCTTCAGCCCTGGATAGCAAGGCTCAGGCTTTGGCCCCCCTGCCTGGCAGTGGAGCTTGGACTTTGGCTTCCCTGTCCTGGGCGGTGGGGCTCGGGCAGGCTCAGGCTTTGGTGTCGCTTCCTGGGGTCATGTAGTAATTTTTGTTGTCAGATGGGGGTTGTGGTGCAATGAAGTTTGAGAATCCCTGCTCTAACATATCACAATTGTCTTTCTTACCTATATCCTTAACTAAATATGTAGTGAAGGTATGGTCTCAGTAGTTATGGTATCCAAATGAATTGCAGAGCATCTGTTTCTGTTTTTTATCTGTAGGTCTTTCAACCCTTTTTTCCCCCTACTTGGTTGCTTCATGACACCTGGGGTTCAGCTGTGGGCTGTGTGGGCCATGCAGCATGTCTGCAGCAAAAACCGTATGTACTAAGATTCAAACTACTTTTAAATTCACCTCTCTTAACATATAGTCTACCAGGATAACTAAAAGAATCTAGAAAGTTCTCATGGTCTTCATCCTTAACTCTGATGGGAAAAGGCATGTTAAGGTTTGGCTTAAAACAGGGGCTATACTATTTTTATCTACATGGATTTTTATCTACATGAATTTTATTTTTGATATGCACATTAATTAAAAACAGATGCATGTTAAACAGATACTTTATTGGGCTTTCTAGAAATGCATTTTGTTCAGAAATTTCAGCAATAAATAAAATACAAAGTTATGGACAACATAAATTATCATTCTATTTAAAGAAGAGCAGAGAGTATAGCAAGCAATAATCTCCTGGGGTTTTGGGGTCATCCTGGTGGTTCTTCGAGTGCTTGTTCATGTCAGTTCCATTCTAGGCGTGTGCGTGCCCATGTGCACAGTCGTTGGAGACTTTTGCCTTAGAGGTATCCAGAGGGTCGGCTGTGGCGCCCCCTGGAGTGCCGCGCTTATGTGGCAGTATATCAGGCGCCACCAACCCTACGCCCTCTCAGTTCCTTCTTACCGCCCATGATGGTTGGTTGAAGTGCCTTGTCTTGCATTGCAAGAGTGTTAGCGGTTCTTTCAGCCCATTATTCTGTCTTCTTTGTGGTTAGTTTTTAGGTACTTTAGTTTGACCATTAAGTTAAGTGTTAGATAGTTTTAGTAGTTAGAGTCCCGACTGGGACTTCGCTGCAGAGCAGGGCATGTCCTGTTCCCCAGGCTTTTAGCCATGTTCAGTGTGTACCAAGCCGATGCCTATCAGTGACCCCCACGATAGCTGTTTGAAGCGTCTGGGGGAATCACACAGAAAAGACAAGTGCAGGATCTGCAAGAACTTTCACCTTTGAACTCAAAAGGATTGGGATAGCCGCTTGAGGGCCCTCCTCATGGAGGCTGCACTTCATCCTGGCTTGGAGCCCTTCCGATTGGAGTCCACGCCGCGTACTTCAGTGTCAGCGTGCAGCACGCTGCCGGCACCAGAACCTGCCTGGCACCGTTCCCCTTCGCCGGTGCCCAAGAAGTGGCTGAAGCCCAAAGGCCCATCAGCATCACAGGACAAGGGGGCTTTGGGCAAAGGATCTGTGCTAGGCCACATGCCCACCCCGGAGCTGCTGTGATCGGACCCCCAAGCCTAGCTAGGGATCCACCTCCAACTCCCGGGAGCAGCAGGGGATCCCGGCCCCTCATAGTGCCACCTGTGCCTGAGGCAGCCCTGGCAATCAAGGACCAAGTAGGCCGGCCAGCACCTCAGATGCCAAGCCAGGCAATGGACCCAGTTAAGTCCCAGACCTCTAAAGGCAAGCCAGTTATGGGACCTCCCTCCGAAGCAATGGAGCATCCCTGGTCCCCAGACTGCAGACATTGATCCCTGTCACCACGGAGTAGGGCTCCAGTGCTGCAGCCTCCATCTCTGGGTAGAAGACCCAGGTCTCTAACATCAAGATTGCCACCTTTGAGACATGTGATGTCCGAGTTGCGACGCCCATCCCTGTAACTGCGGTACCACCAGGTCTCCCGCCAGAGATCACTGCAGTGCAGATCCTCATCACCTAGGCAGTCCCGCTGGCATTGATCCCTCTTGGTGCGGGATCGTTCCTAGTCATGGCACCAGTCTCTGACTCCCTGATACCACTATTCAGGCAGGCACTGTTCCTTGCCCTTTCCTTACCGGTCGCCGACAAGGATCAGCTGACAGACTCAGGTATCTACGGCTCTGCCCTGGTAGCCAGAAGGGCAGTGGTCCAAGATGGAGGGAGAGTTCAGCCCCTCACCTAGGTGGCTGCTCCATTTCGGCTACTGCTCCAGATGGATTTGCTGCCACAAAACCTTGGCACTGTCCTGCACCCAATGCACCCTGGTAACATTGCGCCTGATGGCTTGGCTGCCGCATGGCTAAATGCAGAGGAGCAGGAGTGCTTGGCCAGAGTCCAGTAAGTCTTGCTGGGCAGCAGAAGGCCCTCCACTAGAATGACCTACACAGCCAAGTGGAGGTGGTTTATGTGCTGGTCCTCTAATAAAGGCATTTGGCCTGAGCAGGCTTCACTGCAGTTAATCCTGGACTACCTTCTGCACCTCAAGCTCCAAGGCCTGTCCCTGTCATCCATTAAGGTCCATCTGACTGCTATTTTGGCTTTCCACCTGCCATTAGAAGGCAGGTTGGTTTTCACCTACGGAATGACTGTCAAGGGCCATGAGTGCATCTAACTGCACATCAGGGACCCAGTACCACTGTGGGACCTAAATCTCATGTTATCCCGGCTCATGGCACCCTACCCTGCCCTTTGAGCCTCTGGCTTTCTGTTCTCTCCTCCTCCTTTCTTGGAAGGTCGTGTTCTTGGTTGCAATAACCTTGGCCCGCAGGGTCTCTGAGATTAGGGTACTTACTTTGGACCCGCCCTATACAGCTTTTACAAGGAAAAGGTCCAACTGTGTCTACACTCAGCCTTCCTGCCCAAGGTGGTCTCCCAGTTTCATGTGGGCCAGGACATTTATCTGCCCGTCTTTTTTCGTAACCCCATAAGTTGGAGGAGCAGCGTTGGCTGCATTCCCTAGATGTTAGAAGGGTGCTAGCCTTCTACATTGAACAGACCAAGCCATTCCACAAATCTACGCAGCTGTTCGTCGCAGTGACTGACAGAATGAAAGGTCATCTGGTTTCTGCTCAAATCCATTTCTTCTTGGATCACCACCTTCTTTGCTACTGCTAAGACCAGAGAGAGGTGCCACCTCCAGTGAGTGTTGCCGCCTCCTCAACCAGGGCGCAAGCCTCTTCAGCAGCTTTCCTAGCCCAAGTGCCTATCCAGGACATCTGTAGGGCGGCCACCTGGTTGTCTGTCCACATGTTCACGTCCTATTATGCACTTACCCAGCAGGCCCGAGATGATGCTGGCTTTGGTAGAACTGTACTGCAAGCCCGTAGGCTGTGAACTCCAAGCTTACGTCCGAGGATATTTGTGAGTCACCTAGAATGGAATCGACATGAGCAAGCACTCGAAGAAGAAAAAACAGTTACCTACCTTTCGTAACTGTTGTTCTTCGAGATGTGTTGCTCATGTCCATTCCATTACCACCTTTCTGCCCCCCTGTCGGAGTTGCCGGCAAGAAGGAACTGAGAGTATAGGGTTGGCAGCTCCTGAAATACCAACTCATGAGCACAGCACTCAAAGGGGTGCCGCGGCCGACCCTACGGATATTGCTAAGGCAAAAGACTCCGACTGTGCAAGTGGGTGCACACACATCTAGAATGGAATGAGCAACACATCTCGAAGAACAAAAATTACAAAAGGTAGCTAAACATTTTATTCTAATCTCCATTCTGCAATGACTTGCTGTGTAACATGAAGTGGGTTTCTTAATCTCAATGCCCCATTTGAGATCTGATGAAAGGTGCGGTAAGTGAAAAGTATTAATTCCCTTTTAGAGTACCTAAATGCAACATGACTGAACAAATTCACTACTTTCAATGCTCATTGTGTCTATTTCTCATGTGATTTAAGTGCATGTGCCCTCACTACTCTCCATAGTGTATGTGTATAGCAGCTTTCCTCACAGAGATCAATGAGTTACTTTCAGTGCTGGTATGTAATGCCATTGACAGCAATGGTTTTGTGCCTGCTTATATCAGGGCCCAAATCACTTCTTCCACAACAGAAATGCATGTATACAACAGCACACAGTAACGGTGCATAACAGATTACCATGGGAAGGGAAAACTCCATTTCTTAGCTTTTTGGTCATGTGTGTAGTGCTGTATAAATGTTCTGTAGGGATTTTCTTCTAGGGGTATACTGGTCCTAGGTCCAGGGTGACCATTCCCAAATTGAGAGATGAGCTGACAAAGCTGTATTATTGACCAGCCTAAAGATAGTGGAGTGTAGTGGATAGGACACTGTAACCTATGTGGCAACATTAAACTGAAATTGCACAGCAGGGACTCCAGCCTATCCCAAGCCCTTTTCTCCTTTGTGTATTCCCTCTCCCTCCCCTGAATCCCCACTGTCAGATCAGTATAGTGCCTGTTATGTAACTTATTAATTTTGGTATATATGTTATACTGACCTAAATTCTAAATGTTACACGTGCTGTAGATATTTGAATTGACAATGAGTAATGGCCTGATAGAAGTTGTCAGCATAGGGGAAGCTGGAGAAATTGGTAGCTAGGTAACAAACCTTGGAATTACCATACAGGATCAGACCAGTGGTCCACCTGTTCCTCTATGCTGTCTCCAACAGTGTCCAGTATCAAATGCTCCCAGAGGAAGGTGTGAGGATACTCCACGGTAGATAGCTATAGAGTAACATTCTTTGAGGGGAATCTTCCTAATGCATTATTTAGAGATTTCCCTGTGGCCTTAAGCATGATGGTTCAGTTGGGGAAGCATGGGAGCTTTTGGTTATTGATATGCAGGAGGTGGTGGGGCTCTTGGTATTGGGGAGGGGAGCCATTTATTTCCTCGCCAACTCTCTGTTGGGCAAGGACAGAGAACTTTAAGGTTGGGAGGAGTAGGGTTTAAATTCCTGGGGGTGGGAGGTGTTCCCCTTTTGTCATTCCCCCACACACACATTGACAACCCTTGATAAGAACTAGCAGCCCCTCTGAACCATGCTCCAATATCCCACACAACATCCAAAATTGACAACTAAGTGTATTGACTTCATTCTGCTAAATTTGATCAGCAGTGAAATATTTAATGTCCGTGCTTAAATTGTTAACCTCAGTGTCCCCCACTGAGGTAACTGGGGACAGTTCAAACGTCTCCGAGCTGTTATTTGTGGATAGATTTGTTGACAGATATTTGTGGCCAACTATCACTCCATTAAGTTACATTAGGCTTATGATTTGAAAGCTATCTTTACAACCATGAGAGACTTAATTTTCTAAAAATGAAAACTTAGATTCTCAAGCTAAGCTGTGCTCCAGTTTAATTGTGCATTTTTGCATTATACACGTGGCTCGAGATATGATCAGTGCTCCTGTATGTAAGAGTGCTGAAGTCATGTATAGTTGAAATGTGTGTTACATACCTTTTTAAATCAATAATACAAATGGTCAGAAATGTGAAGTTTTGTATCGAGAGGAGGAATGCATTCCTGGCAACTTACACTAGGTACCATTTTTAAAAGTCACATTTATCAATGGTCAGTGCATTGGGTTTCTGTGAAATTTTTTCCTGTTCACTGAATAGGGCAATATTAATATTGTGATATCTCTGATACCATGTCATGCTAACTGATACATACTGCAGTCACCAGTTACAGCAGTTTGTCTGTTTAGGTACTTACTTAGATCACATTGGCATGTGAGTGCCAAAAATATTAGAGTGTATCATTGCAACACAAATGAGAGAGAAAAAAGTATTATTCACATTTGATAGGGTGTCACAGGAAGTCAGTGGCAGAGCTGGGAATTGAACCCAGATGATATGAGGCCTAGTCAAAGATCTTAACCACAAGAACCTTCTTTCCTATTACAATAAAATTTTATGGAATGACAATGCAATTTTATAGACACTTTTTCAAATGTCCTAAATATTGACTGGAATAATAGATAGATCAGAGTTAACTCCAACACCTGAGTGTATTTCACAACTGTTTTTCTTCTCTATAGACAGTTAACTTTTTTCTTATATCTCATTTCAGCTGCCAGGTATTGCAACATGTTAATTGAAGAAGGTGGATTGCAGCACTTATACAACATCAAGGAAAATGGCCAAACTGATCCAGATGTCCAGCGAATTGCAATTGCCATTCTAGATAGCTTAGAAAAACATATTGTACGTCATGGGAGACCGCCTCCATGTAAAAAGCAGCCACAAGCCAAGCCTAACCAAACTGAAAGCTGAAGGTATAAGTGTGTAAACCATCCTCTCTGTAATAATCCTTTATCACACGTGTAGTTGGAGTGACTTGTACTACAGTGGTCACCAGTGAAGTTATTTGCTAACAATTGTGGTACTGGATACCACTTGTGGTAACTCTTGGGCAAATGTCTACTTCAATGACAACTTCTAAGGGGATCTATGATCAATGCTTGATCTAGTCATACCTATGGGATTACTGATGACTACAGCAAGGTGGGACTTGAATAGTTTGGAATGCACATCCAAAAACAAACCTCTAGGAATATCTTGTTTTGTGACTTAATTGTGGGACAGAAAGCTTGTTTCATCCATGTCATTGTTGAATATAGAACTGTTTACCAACTCAGTGTTTCAATAGAACTGTCTGCAAGAGTGGTGAATCTCACAATCACAGCTTTAAACAAAAATTCACGCATGCACACATTAAAAACACTGTACCATTTGTAACTAAGGTAACCAGAATGTCCCATTGTTTATGGGCCCTCCATAAGCCCAACTGAGTCTTCAAAACACCTCGTCTTGGGACCTGCAACCTCTGTCCTTTGTCTCTCCAGCACTAGACTGTTGTCTTTTCCAGCTGTTGGCTTCCCTTGACTCATCTATGCTGCCTCAGCACGGTTAGGATCAGCACTGCTTGGGTGCAAATGGGAAACACTGAATTGGCTGCTCTGGAGGAAAGCAGTATAGGTACAGGTGGAAGTGGGGGCAGGGGAAAGCTTGAAATACTAAAAGGATAAACTGAGTTTGAGGTTCAAAACTTAAAACTAAGTTGTTGTTTTTTTTAAAAGAAGTGGTAGGAGAAGGAGGGAGCTCCACATCAGAGCTCAAAATGTTAGTTGAAGTAGAGTAGCCCTTCCCATCACATGGAGGTGCATGTCTTGATGGGAGAACCAAGATATTTGGTCATCTTTTTATAACCGATTATTGATTGCCTTGCCATTTCTTGTACATATTTTGTCAGTATTGTGCAGTGATTTGTATTCCCAATGCATTACACTACAAAATATCACCCAACATCATATATAAGGTCCTTTGTAAATTGCATTGGTGTGCAGAGTGTGAAATTTTACATAAAGCTGTCAATGGTAAAAACGTATTTCTTCCTGTTGTTTGAGTTTAAAAGAGGTGTTGAATGAAATGGAGATTCCACGCATACAGATGCTTGATTAAATACAAGTGATGGAAGCAAGCTACAACGTGAGCTCAAATTCCCTTTATTTCAAAGCATTGTTTATTAATTCTTCTTGTACTGTCAAATGGCTGTCTTCACATCTCCCTGCCAAACAATGGAACAGGATTCTACTGTTGTTGAACTTTACTGGCATTTTAGTTCCAATTCCTGAAGTGAAAATCACTGTACCGTTTACCTTATGGGAAGGGACGGCTGACACAACACCACTTTACTTCACTATAATAGAGTTAACACACCACCTACAATCTGGAATAGTTTCATTACAGTGTGTGTGTTAGAAACATTAACAGACTGCTTTAGTAATGTTACCATTACCACATTGCATAATGCTTTGTTTTGTACAAAGGTATCATCTGGGTAGCTTCATTCCTCTACATACACCTGAATGTATGTAGTTTCCTTGACCCAAAAAGAAGTGAAAATTGTCAGAAATATAAAATTATGGGACTTATTTTTTAAAAAAGTTCCAAAGAATTGTGTTTTATGGGCAGTTACTTTTACCTTTTAGACTAGAGAAGTCTTGACTTCTGCTGTGAAAAGTCCATTGCAGGAAATGGAACACACAATCTACCAATATCAGAGTTTATGGAAACTTCATATCACTTGGTACTGAGAGGTTTTTAAATGAACATATTAACCATCTGGAATGCTGTTTTCCCCCCAGTAAGATGGCTATTCTAAACACATTAGATTAAACTATACAAAGTCTATAACGGTATATGACCCAAAATGGAAACTGGGGCACCAGTCTGGCTAGCTAGGACACCACTTCATGAGATTATGGAACAAGGATAATGCAGCCACACAGACCTGTCACTAATGCACTCTTTCATGATCTTTAACATAGCCCATTCCAGGCTACTCTTCAGAAGTCACTGATGGTATATTGATTGTGGAGATGACTACAACACTAAGATGTCTATTTCACTTGTGATATTTGCCATATTATGAATGAATAATCGGTTAATGCCTCTACTCTAACTTAAATGTTTCTGTAAATGTATGAACTGGTGAGGTTACCTTGATTGAAATTAAATGAGATGATTTACAATTAAGTAGTTCAAGCAATCTAAAGAATAGTGAAACTGAATTTTTTGCCCAAAGACTGATTGTTCCTGAGGAAGTGTCTCCTTATTCCAGTATAGATGTTTTATCAGTTTATAAACTACATTCATAAAACAAAACAAAAACATGTTTACCAAAAAATACATTCCTTCTAATAGAGGAACCAGTTCTGGTTTAGCTGACAGCATTCAGCTGTTTTAAGTACCCTTTATTAGAAGCTAAAGGACAAATCATTAGCTTGTCTGCCTATCTAATAGGATTTCATAATATTCTGAAACTGCTGTGATGGGAAGGTGATAGTTATACTTAGCATTTATCCCTAATGCCTTCTCTAACGTGAGATGACGCTTTCTAACTGTTTTAAAAAAGGTTTTGAAAGTTATATAACTTAAATATTCTGCTGTACATGTTTTAAATGAAATGATACAGCTCATGCTATACATTTACCTTGTTTAGTCTGTGAAACTCCTGGTCCAAATTCTGCCTGGAGTTCACATCACTGGTGAGTCAAAACTTATTTTCTGTCACTATTGTGTGAGAGGTTTTTTTGTTGGTTTGTTTTTTTCTTTTTGAAATGTCCAAGTTTAAGTTGAAGAGTAGAATGCAAAGAACTGTGTTTTAAAAACCATCTTTTCCCATAGCTATGATGATTTCCATGGCTTTTCCTTTGCTATCAGTATTTCAGCTGGGCTCCTGCTATGTGACAGTTCTGGGCTGTTAGGATGGTATACAAACAGAGGTAACCTTTTAATTGCACAGCTTTCTCCCTAAAAGCTTTCTGAACAATTTCAGAATGTTACCCCAGCAACGCTTACCAACTACTGTAATTTTCAAGATAAAATGTACTTAAACAGGAAAACTGTTCCATGTGGGAATGGTGTCAGATCTGTCTTCATTCAGAGTTGAGTCGTATAGGAAAACTTCCTTTAATATTCATTGAATGAATGATGTACATTTAGTCTTGTGTCTTTATATGATGCTATTCATTCCTTCTTAAGCATTCTTAAATTATTGGATCAAAGTTAGGCAATGAGAAATGATTGTCAAAAAGAGGGAGACCACTCAACTTCTTCACAAATAACCTGTTACAAAGCCTTTCTGTTTAGTTTTTTGGCACCTTTTTGCAAAGCAAATATATTGTTGCCATATAGCACAATCTGACTAAATGACAGTGCACTAAATCCATTGATGGATTGATAACAAAAAAACAAACCATAGGGATCAGCAGCTCAGATGGTTATTGTATGAGAATTAATTTGTGGAAAATTGAGTTCTTATTCAAATTATGAACAAAGGTGATTATTTTTATTGGCAAAATCTGGCATTTGTGTTAGCAGGTGGCTTATGGTAATAGACAAAGTAATAGAGCAACAGGTCCTTATGCCACAATGGTGTGAATTTCTGAAGAAAGGGGGACATAAATGCAACATGCATTCTGTTGGACAGTGAAAAGAGTAGGACAACACTACTTACTTGTACAAAAGCTTAGGCAAGATTTACCAAGAAACTATAATTGCTTCCCTACGTGTACTACAACCTTTTAAACAGAAAATAGTTTTTTTTTAAACTACATGCTAAGTGTCAAATATCGTCCGCCTTTCTTCTGTTTACACTGTGATACAGCAACATAGTTCTGTAAAATGTGACAAATTGTTCAGTAATTGTAATGGTTGTGTTTTTAAGGTACTTTCAATTATCCAGACACAAAACACTATTTCCCCACAGGGTCCAGATGAGTGGGGCATGTTGCATATGGATTGTAACACAAATTTCTAGCCAGTGCTTTATTTGAGTGTTAATGTTATATGTTAACTATAGGCTTTGCCTAAATAAATGTGTATGTACACTTTTTTTCTTTTAGAATAATGAATATGTTCCATGCTGTTTGACAGAAATGAGAGAGGCTGCATTGAGCCAAAACGAGTCCGTACAAAATGGACTATATATCTGTTTAAAGGTGTATTATTATTTACTAGTAAAATGATAAACAAGTTGCCACCATCTATGAATGTAGCAGAACGCTTATTTCCCTTTGATAGTGTGACTGTCTTAAAATGAAAAACAAAGTGCATTACAATCTTACGTTACGATGTGAGTCAACAACTTTTTTGTTTCCATTAACAGAGTAATAATCTCTGTCAAATCTTTGGACTAGACCAGAAATGTGCTACCTGACCCATTTCCTTCCATAGGGGGAATTTTAGCTAATGTTTCTCTTGCTTTTGTAGAGCTTTTGTGATTTTTTTTTCTGATTTTACTAAATTTGATTCTTCGGGAAAATGGTTCTAGACAAGTAAAACTTTCTGTAAAAGTTCTTTCCATGTTTTCTTATGAACATTGAAGTACACCTCTACCCCGATATAACGCTGTCCTCGGGAGCCAAAAAATCTTACCACATTATAGGTGAAACCGCCTTATATCAAACTTGCTTTGATCCACCGGAGCATGCAGCCCTGCCCCCCCAGATCTCTGCTTTACCGCGTTATATCCGAATTCGTGTTATATCGGGTCACGTTATATCGGGGTAGAGGTGTATCTAAACTGGAGATTGCTCAGTTTCCAACCTTTTAAAAATGATTAAAGCAGAAATGAAAAAAACATGTTTCTTTTGTTCTCACTGTGGTAATATATGAAATAAGATATGGAAAGGAGGTGGGGAAAAATAATTGATACAGATTAAGAAACAGATACTTTACAAACACTAATGAACAGAGTAAGCCCAGTGGACGGTTTGTATTTGGAAATGGGACATATAGCCAGCCTTTCACAGCTTGACTTGTGTGGTTGATCGCAATCAAAGTATTGCTATGTGGTGGCTGGCTCCATGGCCTTTGTGAAATTAATTTTGTGGTCTCAGAACAACTTCCACCCCAGTTTGTCCATTACCAAAAGCCACTGCAACTTGTACTAAATAGCAACGTAAAACTTCAGCTTCTCTACTGAGACTCAGCTGTTGGGAGACTGAATGAAGAACTGTGCTCTGATGTAGGGGAAATGGTCTAGAAGGACAGCCTCCCTCACACTCAAACTTCAGTGATACCTAAAGAATGATGGAGAACTGAGTCCTTCTCAGGATTCCTCACTTTGGGCCTGATTCTAATCTCACAGTAGCTTTGTACATTGATAGGCAGACTGATTTCAGAGGGGCTACTCACTTACCTTAGGGTGACAGCAAAGTCATGCTCTTTGGTCTTCATAATGCTTAAATACTATGATGATGACAGACACAACAGAATCATTATGACAGGTTTCAGAGTAGCAGCCGTGTTGGTCTGTATTCACAAAAAGAAAAGGAGTACTTGTGGCACCTTAGAGACTAACCAATTTATTTGAGCATAAGCTTTCGTGAGCTACAGCTCACTTCATCGGATGCATGAAGTGAGCTGTAGCTCACGAAAGTTTATGCTCAAATAAATTTGTTAGTCTCTAAGGTGCCACAAGTACTCCTTTTCTTTTAACAGAATCATTGTAAAGAGACTGGTCATACTTACTGTGCAAGCCTAATTTCAGTTGGTCTTCAATTTTCATAAAGTCATTTAGAATCGATGTTAATATGGACCTCAGACTGGAATCTGTTGGTTTATCCTCTACACCCAGCTGCCCTGGGGGCTGATGCCATAAAAGCCTAAACCAAACATTGCAACAATTGTTTTTCAAGTACAATAACCATATGCTGTAGATCACTGGTTCTCAAACTAGGGAATGGTTTCCAAGGGAGGAGCGGGAATGTGTCAAGGGAGGTCTGAGCTGTGTAGGGTTTTTTGTTTGTTTTTTAAAGAGCTCTGGCTGCCAGCCTTGGGTGGCTGGGGCTTGTGCAGAAAGGCGAGGTGCAGCTGGGAGATGGGGACAGAGGGGACAGCTGGAGCCCTGCTGCTCAGGCTCTCCTTCCCCGCCCTCAGTTCCTCACTTGGAGTTGGTGGGACTCTGGCTGTCAGCCACAGGGTGGCACCAGCAGTGCAGAAGTAAGGGTGGCAATGGGGTGTTATCTGCTATGAAAAGTGATGACATGAAGAGGGAGCCCCAATCAAATAAGTTTGAGAACCACCCCTGCTCCAGATTGTGTGGTTTTTATATATGTCCTTCTCAGATGCCCAAAATATTTAGCTTTTAGTCTGGTGCCCAAAGGTATGCTTATTTTAAGTGTGACTCTGTTCTGCTATGTTTCAGGTAAGTGATTATGGATTTCTTACTCTGTGGATTTGATTCTACTTCTTTATAATGGAGTTTTTCCTTTTTGTAAACTGTTAACTCTAAGGGCTCATAGTAACCTTTTGTTTTACACCAGTCTATGTAGGAGAATTTGAGCCCACTGCATCTACTGTTTGTGTGTAATCAGACTTTTATCTAGTCACTGTGTTGATAAGCTTTTCTTCTTTTTATTCCTATTTAGTCCTCTAGACCTGATACAGCTAAGGTAGAGTGAGCTCAATTCTATTCCCTCATGTGCTTTATCAACAGAATTGTTTAGGAAGTTCCATTTATTTGTACCAGTCCAGGCAACCTCAAGGCAATGAAGATGCATGAGTCACTAAGGGCATAATTTTATCTGTAAAATCTTTTTAGGAGGCAGGTGTTACAGGTGCAGAATGGGAAGAATCCATCTTCCCTTGTAGCTGTGGTAGTTATAAAACTATATTTTAAATTAAGCTCTTAGTATGTTAAAAAATCATGAGTCAAGCTCTTCAAAATCATGAAATGAGCTTTAAAAATCATAAGATTATGTAAAAATAATAGTGTTCTTTTTATTTGCCTTCTGCGTTTTAAGCCCTTGTGGCACTAGGGTCACATTTTGAAGCTTTCTCTACAGTCACACAGGCTCAAAACTTACTTTTCTTTAACACTAAAAGTTGAAATCATCACCTGTCCCCTTGGCTTTAGGAGCTGAGGCCTTTTAAGGAAAACAGTAATTATGAGCATCAAGCCAAAATCATGAGCGTTGGCACTACTGAGCTCGTTCGGTTGGAAAAACAGAAATCAGGGAGAAAGAAATATAAAGTTAGCACAACCTGTGGCCCCTTAGCCACTACCCCGTCCTCCTTTTCTTTCTGCGGATGCAGACGAACAGGGCTGCTACTCTGAAACCTGTCACAACGGTAACAGGCTTGGGTGGTGTATTTTAGCACGCTGCGCCGTTAGGGGTTTGGAGTTATCCCGCTCTGCAGCTGTAAGTGACCAGACAGGTAGCGGGGCGTTAGGACTCAAGGAGGCCATAACCCCCCTGCTTCCTCCCAGAAGAAGGCCCGTACGAGCGTGGGAAGTGGAAGGGAAGGGCAAGGACGAGGCGAGTGCCTAAGGCCACGCGGCACAGGGCGGGAAGCGTAGCTGACCCCCTTCTGGCTTCGCCCCATCCATAGCTCTGAGCTCGACCGGGTTCCCTGCCCCGAGCTCGGGCAGCCCCGCCCCGGAAGCGAGCGGGTCGGCGCCTGCGCTGTGGCCCGGCTGGGCTCCCGGCTTTCCCGGCAGCGAGGCTGGTGGCCCCGAGCGCCCCGCCGGGCAGAGGAAGAGGCGCGAAGAGGGCTGGGGCGGGGGGTGTCTCTGCTGCGCAGGCCCGAGCCCCTGGCGCGGGCGCCGCCGCCTGCCTGGCCCGCCATGGTGCGGTTCCTGCACGTCCAGAACCGGCAGCGGGCGCCGCCGCCCATCTGCAGCGACTGCCCCGCCGTGCAGGTGCGGGGCTGCCCTGGAGCCGGGCGGGCATGGGGGGCGCTGCGGGAGGGGGGCGCTCTCCCTTCGGGTCCGAGCCCCCGCGCGGAGGGGGCCAGGGATCCCCGCGGGGGTCGCTCTGTGTAGGGCTGTGGAGCACGAGCGTGCCCGAGAGTCACTGGATTCGAGGCTGGTCCGTTACTGTCTGAATCAAACTCCTCCCCTGGGAATCAGGCCTCTGGGAGATTCGGGGGTGTAGCTGGACTAAAGCACCCGCGCTGATTGCCACCCTTTAAAAAAGGGGGATCATTCTCTCTGCTAAAGTGTGGGGTGAGTTGGAGCTGTTACACGTGTGCCCACGGTAGCCGTCCCTTTAAATCCTGACTTCTGCGTGTCACACATTCCTATCAAACTAAACTAAGTTGAAGTAGACTGTTCAGGGTGGGAGATCCATGCATTTCAAATAGGGGTGGAATGAGGATGTCTCTGGCCTGTATTAATATGCAGTTTATTCTGTCTGACAACTTACCTGGAGGAGCATCCACAATCACAACGTACGCCTAACTGGATGCTTTCATGGCTACGCAGCAAGAGAATTTTCGGTTTCGAGTCTGAGCCTGCAGGACCTTTTCATAAAATTTCTATTGATGTCAAGGTGTGGAGGGCTTGCAGGTTTGGTTCCTGTGAGTCTGAGGTCTACCATAATAGGTTGCTGTCTCAATCTCTGTAATGCTCGCCCATTGTGATATGTATTGAGCTATATCAAGTTGATAGTGGAGCTGGAATACTTTGCTTTAACCTCAGTTAATCATTGTGAAAGTGTTTTGGTTGGTTGTAATTTGATTAATGTCTTATTAATACGTGCAGGGTTTTTTATTTGCTTATAACAGGCTGAGGCATCTCCATACTCTTTACTTGACATCTCTTTGAAAGCGCTGACTGCTGACCTAGAGAAGTTTTGTACTGAGAGGCAAGATGGAACACTGTGCTTGAAAGAATCTGAAAGACTTCCCCAAGAAGTAGCTGATCGATTGCTGCAGACTATGGCATTTCATGGTAAGACTTGGGATCAGCAAGTGTAAATCTGGTGGAAAAGCTGGATGTCGGGCACTTTAGTCATTTGAGTTGTATTTTTAACATCTGAAATCTTGGAATAATACCATCTCACACTTCCTTTTTCACCTCATATTTCATCTGGCAATCTAATCACCACCACCTTCAGAAAGTTTGTTCTTTTTACCTTGCCCCCAAACTCATTTCTCTTGAATGAGAAGTTGTGGGAATAAGATTTATGTATAAAAGCTTGGGAATAATTACCAGATTTGGTATATTTAAGTATTGTATATTGACTGCAGTAAGGAAAGCAAGTTATGTTGTCACCCTGTGACTTACTGATGAACTGGTTCATTTCAGGTTAACTAATTTATAGTTACACTTGTATATTTTTCCCTGTTGGCAAAGTTCAGGTAAAATATGTCACAAGCTAGCCTAGTCCTCCTCTCTGAACAGACCCCTGTGTATGGTATCTTGAGCCAGCCAGTGAGTCCCTTGTGCTTCTAAGGCCTCTGGGTTTGGGTAGGAACTGATCATTGTTCCTAGCGCTGGGTCTCTCAACCATACTCCTTGGTTTTGAGCCTATCAATGTACAATGCTATTGTGAGGTTATAATCAAATTGGGGTTCACAAAACAAATTTGTGTCAAATTGTACATTCCATTTTATCTCCCAGAGTGTCACAGTACACAACTAAAGACAGCAGCTACCAAGGATGGAAGGGAATTATTTAAGGTAGCACAAAAGCGTAATGTACGACAAGGTTCGGTCTTGTCATCGTTGTTCAAAGTGTATGTCAGCCTGCTGGTTGAGATGGAGATTTTTGACTGTTAAATTATTTTTGGTTTAGATGTTTTAGGAAAGACAATTATCTTACAAAAGGAGGACATTGCGGGGGGGGGGGTTTG